ACAAGAGGAAAACTAAAAAAAATCGCAAAAAATAACAACTTAAAAATTTAAAAAGCTGAAAAATTAAAAGAGAGACTAAAACATTAAAAATATATAAATAAAAGGACTAAAAGTACAAATAAATCCATTGTATTTTAGGCTGCTTCATCTTTTTATTATCAATCAAATCAATGATATATAACTTTGTTCTATTCTATTTCATTTCATTCAATTATATTTCATCAATTAGTATAGTCTAAAAGATTTGTTAAATTTTCTTTAAAACAACTATATAAAATTACTAATATTGTAATGATATATAACTTTGTTAATTTGTATAGTTCGATATAATTATTTGTTATTTTTAATTTATTAAATTACTAATATTGTAATTTAATTAATTAAATATTTATTTCAAACTAAATAATCACTTATTTAATTATTTAAATTAAAGTTTTCAATAAATTTTATGAATATTCATTGGCGGGAATCTTTGATGATTTATGTTAATAAAAATTGATTTCATTAGTAAAAAAAAAATGATTTCATATATTTTGTATGACTTGTTAGTATAAAAATATAAATTAATAATAGTGTAAAATTTTTTGGGGTTAAATTGTTATGCAGTTACATATAATTAATTTAAAATTTTCAGTATGACTTGACGAAATGTTAAATTTTTTTTTAAAAATAACTATAATTTTCAATGAAAATATCAAAAAAACACAAAATTCAAAAAAAAATGGTCAGGTTTCAAGACTGAATCGTCATATGAAATGGCTGGCTGATCAAGGTCACCTTGACCTAAGTCGCCATTTCATATGGCGTAAGGGTGTATTGGCTAACCCTACCCTGCAGAGGAGTCGCCATTTCATATGGCGCATCTCTTATGTAGGTTTTTTTTTTTTTGCTTTGTTTTATTAGTTAAATTTTTTTAGCTTTTAATTTTTGTTTTAAGTTTTAATATTTATTAAAAAAATATATAATTGATGATATATGATATATTTGTTTAAATTTTAAAACATAATAAATATATAATTAATATATAATTTTAAAACATAATAAATATATAATTAATATATAATTTTAAAATATAATAAATATATATTTAATATATAATTTTAAAATATAATAAATATATATTTGTTTAAATTTTAAAACATAATAAATATATAATTAATATATCATTTTAAAACATAATAAATATATAATAAATATATAATTTTAAAACATAATAAATATATTTTTTTAAAAATTTTAAAACATAATAAATATATAATTGTAGGTCACATTTGATTTTTGATATTTTTAAAACATAATAAATATAATTGATGATATTTTAAATTTTTTATTTTGTATATTTGTTTAAACCTTACGTTGTTAATTTTTGATATTTGTTGAAAAAATATATATAAATTTTGCAAGGGTAATTAAGACATATCATATGGCGTCCGTACTATTTTATTTTTCTATAAATAAGACTGCACAGTAATATAGTTTTCACAACAATTTATACCAAAAGACTCAAGTCTTCATAACTTTGAATGCAGTCTAAAATGTCTGCATTTCTAAATCAACGTTCATCGTCGTCATCATCAGAGGAATCGTTTCCAACATTTACTCTAATGAGAAGAAACGTCGTAGTTTATTTTTTGCATAGGGAACTGAACCGCTGGCTAGAAGGAGATATTGCTGCAGATGAAAAGATTAGGAAAATCGAGAGGTTGGTCGAAGAGTCAGGGAGAAACAAAGTTACTTGTGAATGGAGAAAAATGGAAAATGATGCTGGTGTCCTTGTGATGATGTTAACACCAAAGAAGATAACGTTGATGGTTGTGATATCATAGACACCTTGATGCATTGTTCTGTTTTAGGTCGGTTTGTTGTTGTTATTTTTGGAATGTTGTTGTGATATTAAGTTATGTTTGTTTAATTTATGTTGCTTGCTAAATGTATTCGGTTAAATATGCTTTAAATGGAATGAAATTTGTTGTTGATTTAAAGGGACGCGGTTACATTAGACACTATGATCTTGTGTTTGATCCTACGTTAGGACATTTTGTACGATTGTGTCCTGGTTGCCGACACGAACTACATAATCTTACCATCTTGTTTGCTACATCCATCTCCGTTCGAATGTGCGTGCTATTAGGGCGACCATTTTTCTTTCTTCGCATCAAATCATTATGTCAGACAATTTCGCCTTCGTATGGAGGCCAATATAGTCCTCTTTTGCCACCACTTAAAAGCTACGTGTGTAGACATTGCATAGACTTATCACTTGTTGAACTGTAGAAAGATAGTTGGTTGAGTCCTGGCGCGCCTTCGAACATGCTGCTATAACATGAGAGTAAGACATACGAAATGCCTGAAACTTTCCACAGTCACACCAGCTCCTATCCACTTCAACCCGATAGCATCCTCTAGGCCTTCCTTCATTGTGATCAATTGACCCGGCAACACTGAACCAACTTTTATTACGGTCAAAAATTGTGACCACATGTGTGTTGGCTTTGGCAGCTTCGTCTTTCATGAATGTTGTTGAACTATTAGTGTACAACTGACCAAATTGTAATACTGAACCCCACTTCGTACGTCTGTTATCAAAGAGTGCGCATAGACTAAAATAAAATATTTAATGTTATTAGTTAATATTGTTATTAAAAATCATATGATTTAGTTTAATTATATAATAGAAATTATTAAAATAAAATATTGTTATTGTTATTAGAATATAATGATATAATATAATTACACTTAGGTGCATTGTAAAGAATAAAATTTAATGATGATTTCTAATTTTTCACGAAATAAAAAATAATTTCAATTAAAAAAAGCTAAATTCGAATCATTCTGTGTAGCATGAAGCAGATGAGTGTTGGTGAAACTACTGAATATAGAATGATTCAATTTATTGTTTTATTAAAATTGTAAATTTTTTACTTATTTACTAAATTGCCATTAATGAAAATTTGTTTTCAATTTGGAAAGAGATTAGAGCAGAAGTATTGAAAATCAAAACAGGTTATACTAGTTTTCATTTTTCTGTTTTGAAAACAACAATTTTGAAAACAATTTTAAAAAACAATTTTAAAAAATAAGTAAAAACCCAAACAGATCTTACAATTTTTTAATTTTTACAAAAAAAATACTGTTTTTCAAAAGCCAAACAGGCCCTAATATCTCCAAAAGCGTATCTATATCATTTTTTCTTTTAGTGCACAAAACCACGTACATGATACAGAAGATTTTCAATCATTTTTCTTATAGTGCACATAAACACATCCATGATACCGACAATTTTCAAACAATATTATTAGAAAAAACACCTAACCTCGTACTGGCGTATATGATAATTGATACAGAAGACTTTCAAACAAATTTCAATTTGTTTTAGTTCATATTAAAATCAAATCAATCAATAGAATGTATGTATTCCGAGGCGAAGAATAAATATCCAGAAATTTCTAAAAAAAGAAATTTATATTTAAATTAGAAGATGGAGAAAATAAGAAAAACTTATGAATACAGAAACAGTGATATACCGCGAAAATACAAACAACTAAAGAAGACAAAAAAAAAACTTGTGGAGAGAGAAGAAGTGGAATATTAAAAAAATGAAGAATCTCAATTGTGTTGTTTTTACGGTGAAAAAGTGAAATATGAAAGATAAAAATAATTAAAAAATATTTTGAAATTTTGAGTTGAGCTTTTTTTTTTTTCTAGAAAAAGAATCATAAAAATTTTGAATTGAATGGTGTCTTTTATTTGAAATAACGTGTCATATTCGTGTCGGTTGCAATTCAATTATTGTTCGAATGACACTTCAAAAACGTGTCAAATACATGTTTGACACGTCATTACAAAAAAATAATGTTGTAGACTCGTGAATTTTACATCACTATAAAAGGAAGTTGTCACATGAATATCACATCGCTATTTTAAAATAACAAAAAATTTATGTTCAACTTTTAATGTAAGGAAAGGGAAATTTTTTGAAAAATCGTATAATAATAATTACGTCGCTTATTTATATATAATTTATTAAAACAAAATATAGAATAGAAACATAATATTTATTAAAATATACAATGTATAGTTATAATTTTGTGACGGAAAAACCACGTGGCAAATTTATTATTTGAAAATTACGTGGCAAAATGTTGCGACATGAAAATCACGAGGCAAATTTGTGGCGTGATTTTCATGTAAAAAAACACGTTGTCACAAGTGCTTCTGCCTCGTGTTTTGCTACGTCGCTAATTAAGGTTTTTGGCCTGAAAATCATTTTGTTAATAGCTCTTATTTTTGTAGTGTGTGTCCAACATAGCGATACGCTGTGTGAATGAGGTTTCGGAACTTCATAGTTTATAGCAATCGGATGAATACTTATATCAACCACAATTTTAAAAAGCGATTAGCAATTGCAAAAACACCCACGACAAAACAATGTTGACAAGTGCTTATATCGATACTATTATTCACCAATTTTATGTTAAAGAACAATGCGACGACCACAATCAGTATCGCAATACCTATAATGACCAAAGTCACAAAAGTCTCAACCTCAACGCGACCGTTATTTAAAACCTTGATGTTAACTAAGAACCATCACATAAAATGAATAATCCAATTCTCCATACACTAGTCTAACTATTCACCAAAACAGACCACAATATTACACCATATAAAAAACATATGCAAATCGGAAGAAAAAAAATCAAGTACTGTATTCAGTAGTATATTCAAATTCTGAAAGACCAAAATATTTCCTGTTAAAAGAATGCCCTATATATTCACCAATTCCAATTAGCAAGGAAACTTGAAATGCCCTGCATCTTTCTTAAATTCATATTTGTTTCTATGTGCAGTGAAACATGCATAAATATTTATCATGTCTCAGAAGTCAAAATTCAATAGCAGGAAGGATTGGTAAAGGCTTACCTTACCAGATTATTCTGTTTCAAATGTAAACAGAAATTCCATAATATTATAAGTTAAATCAACCTTCATTTTCTTCATTATGTTAATTCAACTAGTAAATATTTGATCTGCTGCCAATAAGGTTTCATTGAGTTATCTGGCTTGAGTAACCTTTCTTTGCAGGCATGTGAGGCTAGATATTGTTCATCAAGATCTGACACACTCTCATACAGTGAACTCAAGCAGCCAAATCTCACTGCTTCAATATTTGTTTTTTCAGAGACCATTCTTGCAATAGTACCTAAAGGTAATGCTAAGAAGCTGAAAAGAACATCAACAAAAGACTTCCCTGCCTCTGCGAACAGGACTTTGCTTTTCTCTTTGTCTACCATAACTTTCACGATAACTTGCTCGGCTTGTTTCTCTGACGCACTTGCCACCATGGTTAGTAAAGAGTCTAAGAACATGGAGTCACTGAGAAATATCACAACACGTTGGAAGCCATCGGAAGAATAAGTTTTTCAATGTGTTAGAGTTACTAGGCGACATTGGAAAGGAAAACAATACTAGTTAATCACAGCAATCAAATGGTAATTGTTTTAGTTTTCTTCACTAAAATTTAAAATAATTTTTTTGAACGAAAAATAAGTAACTAGGAGACTTAAATATTCTCTCACAAATATCAAAAGAACAATAAAAGTAGACTCAGATAAAATTAGCTGATAGATGATAAGTTAGGTGGTAGCAGGTAGCTAAACACTAATAACTGATCATTTATAACTGATAATGATAACTTATAACTGATAATTTATAGTTGATAAGTTAATTTGAGTATTTGATAAATTAACGGTTACATTAGTTGATAAATAGAAAATGATATAAAAGAATATTCTTAATTAAAAAAAAGTTAGTGGTCCTATTTATTAAATTAATTTTATTCAATAAAATAAACGTATTGATAATCAAATGCAAAATATTTTAAATATAAATATAAAATTAAACATAACTCAAACATATATTAAACACTTATATATAAATTTTGTAATAAAATTTAAATATTTAAAATAATAATATTTTAATTTGATCATATATTCCAATAAAATGCATATTCCTTTCTGTTTTTTTCCTCTCAAAATCTATGGTATACTTACTAATAAACAAATATATTCAACCATTCATTATTATATTTATAAAAATAATACATTAATAATAAAAACTCAACTAATAAATAATTAAAATAATAATTTAAAAGTAATAAAAAAAATTCAATATAATGAGTCAAAATATTCCAATAATAACAAAATGGAATATGAATTGCATCGTGAATTTGTTAGTTAGAAATAATGATTAGTCTTTCTTATTTCCTCAATTAAAACATAATTATTTTAATTTTAATTATAATAATATTGCTAATAAAATTGAGTTTTTGATAAAATAATAAAGATATAAATAGAAGAAAAAGTCATTAGTTAAATGCTATAACCTTAAAACACTTCAAATAGCTTTTAGAAAAGAAATTTAAAAACTAATAAAAAAAGGGTAATGTTAACTTGTGCCCTTGGAGCACATGTTAAGAACTAAATTAAGAAATATCATCTTGAAAATTTGTACAAACTTAAATTTAAGTATAAATTAATTTTTAAATTGTTTTTTCAATACAAATTTACTAAAAGTGGTTTCCTTAACATGTGCCCCAAGTGCAAAGTTAACATTTACCATAAAAAAAAGTTAAAAGATATAAGCTATATAAGGTAAAAACATTTTGTCTTACCATTATCAAAGGGATTCTTAGTCCATCTTCTTTTAGATATTTAAATATTAACTTTTCTACGTGACGTGACATTAATGTTGTTTTTTTAAAATCTAACATTATATTTTGTTTGACATTTTTTAGTTTTATTAATTCACCTTTTTCATTTTTAATATGTTTTTCATTTTTTTAAATATATTTCATATTTTCTATACTTATTTTTATTTATAGTCAATATTTGAAACAAACCCTATTATTTTGAATTTGGCATGACTTGATAGTATAATTATTAAGGATATTTTCATTTTAGTATTCAATCCTTATCTTTAATCCTTTGCATCTTTGAAATCAAAAAGGTTGATTTGTTCATTGTCTCTGTGACAAAATCACATGCTTATATATAATTTTAAATGGATTTATATATAACTTTAAATGGATTTAAAGGTTAATCCTTTGCATCTTTTAAATTTTAAATGAATTTAAATAAAAAATAAAAATGGATTTATATATAATTTTTAAACACAATAAATATAAATAAGTTTAAATTTTAAAACATAATAAATATTTATAATTAATCATTGAATTTTAAAGTATATAAATTTTGTAAGGGTATTTAAGACATATCATATAGGACAAGTAGTATTTTATTTTTCTATAAATACGACTGCAAACACATATATGTTTCCACAACATTGTATACTAAAAGACTGAAGTGTTAACAATTTTGAGTCGCCAAGGGGTTTAGAATGTCTACATTTCTAAATCAACGTTCTTCGTCGTCGTCATTAGCATCGGAGGAACCCTTTCCGACATTCGATCTAATGAAAAGAAATGTGCTAGTTTTTTTTCCATCAACAAAGCCTCCAATGAAAGTGCTCCTGTGGAATACGCAGACGTTGGAGCACTTGCATAGGGAACTGAGCCGCTGGCTAGAAGGGGATATTGCTCCAGGAGAAAAGATTAGGAAAATTGAGACGTTGGTTGAGGAGGTTGGGAGAAACGGAGTTACTCGTGAATGGAGAAAAATGGAAAATGATGCTAGTGTCCTTGTGATGATGTTAAAACCAAAGAAGATAACGTTGATGGTCGTGATATCGTAGACGCCTTGGTGCATTGTTCTGTTTTATGTCTTTATGTTGTTATTTTCGGAATGTTGTTGTGATATTAAGTTATGTTTGTTTAATTTCTGTTGTTTGGTAATTGTAATCGGTTTAGTATGCTTTAAATGGAATGAAATTTGCTATTGATTTAAAGGGACACAGTTACATATAAAACTATGATCTGCTGGTTGATCCTACGTTAGGACATTTTGTAGGATTGTGTCCTGGTTGCCGACACGAACTACATAATCTTACCATCTTGTCTGCGGTATCCATCTTCGTTCGAATGCGCGTGCTGTTAGGGCGACCCTTTTTCTTTCTGCGCATCAAGTCATTATGCCATACAATTTCGTCTTCGTATTAAGGCCAATAGTCCTCCTTTGCCACCACCTGAAAGCTACATGTGTAGACATTACATAGACTTATCACTTGGTGAACTACCGAAAAAAGGTTGGCTGGGTCCTGGCGCGCCTTCGAACATGCTACTATAACATGAGAGCAAGGCATACGGAATGCCTGAAACTTCCTACAGTCACACCAGCTCCTATCCAGTTCAACACGGTAACATCCCATAGGCCTTCCTTCGTTGTGATCAATCGACTCGGCAACACTGAACCAACCATTATTACAGTCAAAGATTTTGACCACATGTGTGTTGGCTTTGGCAGCTTCGTCTTTCATGAATTTCATTGAAGTATCATTGTACAGTTTTGACCCGATTGTAATACTGAACCCCACTTCGTACGTCTGCTATCATATATTGTGGTGTTTGAGAAATAGCGAAAATTGTGTTTGGAAAGACTAGGTGAGTAGAGTTTGAGAGTTTGAGAGTTTGAGTGTGAGCAGATTTTGCTGGGTAAAGAACCTTTGTTTAATTGTGACTCTTTAATTGTGTACCAGAACCTCACCGACCATCTTGGGCCAGATGATGTAAGTTATCTACCTTTAATTTGTCTAACTTATATGCATAAACTTGTCTATCTTTGTCTGACTAAATGTATATACCTTTATTGTAGTTTGTCTGAATACCGTACGAGGGTCTCGACCACCAACCCGACCCCAATGATGCTACTGTGTGGACATCAAGAACACCCATCATTAGGTTCACTATGGTGGAGATGCACCAAAGTGACAGGGTGAAGCTACAATTTGGGATGCATCAGGATATTCTAGATACTCCGACATCATTGGGGCAATGGCATCAGCAACGAGTGGTGTAACACCCTTTTCTACCCCACGATTAAAAGGCACATTTTTCACATAAATCAGAGTAAAATATTAAACTCAATAAACGTCACCTCAAAAGGGCGTACATTTCTCAAATCCTCAAAAATAGGTCAAGGCTCCGTAAAAAAATGGGTTTTCTCAAAATACATCAAATTGCACAAAGCAGCGGAACTCAAGGGCATAAATCAAGGTTTTCCTCATCAGGGAAGATAATCAAAATAAAATCAAAGTAAAACATAGTTTAACTCAAAAGAACCCAACCCGATGTTACATATCAGAGCAAGACCCTCTAAGCTAACCAAAAAGGATAACCACTCAAAAACTTCAAAAACATCCTCGACGGCGTCCACGGCTAAACCTGATCATCTGCACGTTACCCACGTGGAGGTAACATCCAAACAGGCAGGGTGAGTAAAACAATTCATAATAATCAATATATAAAAATCAACATATAAATGACATCATAATCATATTCAACACATCCATATCCTTCAATATGCCTCAAAGGCCACAACGTCATAAATCATACAAAAGACCCATAAATGCAAATGCAACAAGACTCAATGCATGTGGTACCAATCATCACAGCGCGATGGACACTGGGCCATCAACCCTCCATAGATCCCCATTAATAGGATTGATTCTACTTGAGAACCGAAGCACATCAAAACACTTCACATCCACACAATGGGATTGAAGCCAAAGTAATCGAGGTCCTGAACCGAAGTCCGGATGCACATGAATGCATGATGCACACGTCACAAATCATCCTCAAAACAACATCATAGGTGCATCATCATTCAACATATTCATCATCATCAAACGTCATAACTCATCATCATAATTATCATCATACATCATGTCATCATAGCTCATCATAATAATCATCATCATACATCATGTCATCATATAATCATAATAATCATCATCATACATCATAGAAATCATCATATAATCATATACAAATCACATAGCACTCACAGTCATACTCATATTAATTCATCATATTATCACATATTATCACATATTAATTCATAATTATACTCGCGGTAATTCTCATACTATCTGTAACACCCATTTTAATTATTTAGTCATTTTATTACTATTTTAATTATTATATGTTGGTGTGCCCTTTGGTGGGGGTGTGTTTGATGATGATTGGTGGGTGTCCCTGATATGGGAGGATTATTGGTGGTGAATTGGTGTGAATATAATAATAAAATAAATAGTAGTAATATGGTGGTATTATTATTATTATTATTATTATTATTATTATTATTATTATTATTATTATTATTATTATTATTAATTGTAGTAATATTATTAATATTGGAGAATATTATTATTATTATTAATATTATTACTA